TGCCCTCGCTGAGCCTCGGCCCCTAACGAAGTGCTCTCCCCCTACTGACCCCGCCTTCACTCAACCCCCTTCCTTTTACCAGGCCCGCACTCCACTAGCTCCTCCCCTTCACCACGTCCCCTCTGAGTCCCCACATCGGCACTCACCCGCCCCAGACCTCAGAAACGTATACGCTGGTCTCTTTCTCAGACCCTCGCCCCAGAACTAGACACACTGACCCCGTCCACCTGATGGGTACCCCTCTGCCCTTCCCCAGTAGCCCTGCCCTCCCCACCCCTCTGTGAGTGGCCTGGGTTGGAGGGGTTTGCCAGGGTCTCATCTGTGGTTCCTCCTCCCCTGTCCTGAGTGAGACCCTGGCAATCGTCTGGGGACCCAACTAACCCCGTCCACTGTCTGTCCTTCTTTCTCCCCTGGCCCTCAGCAAAAAGAGGAGACTAGACTCGGAGTGCAGGTCAGTGATGAAGGCGGGCAAGGACCAGGAAGGGTTGGGGTGGGGGGGGTTGTCTGTGGGTGGGTGAGATTCAAGGCCATCTCCAGAGGCAGGAGGCCTTGGACCTCAGCGCCTGGACCTTGGACACCAGCAGCTTTTCCCCACCAAGGCCAGAACTCCCACCATTGCAGCCTTTGGTTTGAACAGCCCCCTCTCACAATGCCAAGGAGGCTAGAAGGGTGACCAGGGACAACACGGGCAGTTCCATCAACTACCTTCAGGGACCTTGCCAACACTCTGTACAGCAGGCAGTTGGCTTCATGGCCTGGAATCCCCTTTCCAGCTTTGAGCCCTAGGCACCCAGCCTTCCCTAGCCATTCCAGCTGCCCCTCCACCTCCCAGGCCCCAGTTCACTAGAGCCCACCTCCCACCCCTTTGTCCGCAGCTGTGGGAGCTCCTCACCCCTGCGCAAGAAGAAGAAGAGTGTGAAGAAGCACCGCAAAGACAGGTACCCCCGCTCTCCTGGGGCTTCCTCTCACTTCCATGGGGCCCAGGACCAGGGCTGTGCTGCTTGGGTGTCCCTGAGTCACCCCAGATGGACTCAAGAGAACCCTTGTATGGCCCTACAGGTCTGATTCTGGGTCCAGGAGGAAGAGACGGCACAGGTGAGCTGTGCCCTGTGGCGGCGTGATAGGAGGATATGGTTAGAGGCTGGTGCCCCCCTGCAGAGACCAAGGCCCAAAGGAAGCCATGATGGGAGGGGGGGTTTTGAGGGTCCTGCCCTGCTCTGCCCTCCCCCTCCAGGGACTCCTTCTTAGCCCCAGGCAGGGGACTGAGGGTGGGGGGAGGACAATGAAGACCAGTGATTTGCAATCCTTGCCTGCCCCATGAGTCAGCCTTGATGTAGGGACCCCAAGAATTTCCAGACAATACAGCAGGCCCAGTGTCTAAGGGGTGTGTCCGTAGAGGTGTCAGTTAGAAGGCAGAATTTGCAGGAAAAGGGCATGCCAGATAGAAGGGTGCCTCAGTTGGCAGAGACAGAGTGGGTGGGCTGTGGCTAGAGGTGGAGAATCTTGAGGGGCAGGTGCCAACCCCCAACAGGCCTGACTGCTATGGAGATGGCCTCCACCAAGGCAGGGCTGAGAGCCAGCATGAACCTTTGAAGCAGGACAGTGACTTACTCAGGATGGACTGGGAGAGAGGACTGGAGGAAGTGAAAGATAGGAGCTCAGGCAGAAGCAGGGGCGGAGAAAGTAGAACACTCAGCATGGAGGGAAAGATGTGGGGCAGTCACATCACTGTGGTTGGCATGAGAGCCAGAGCCCCTCCCAGCAGCCCTGAGGAGAAGCAGAGTCCCCAGCCCCATCTTTGTGGTGTGTATTTGCCCGTGGCCATTTGCCAGGGGGGAAGGAGCCTAATTGGACACGTAATCCTGGCCCTCCAATCTCCCCAGTTTCCTCTTTCCTTTCCCCCAGTCCTTCTAGGCCAGTGTTGGCCCCTGCTGCCCTCAGTGTGTCCCATCAGCTTGTACAGATCCTCTGGCAAGCACCTATCAGTCCCGGGAAGGACCTAGAGATGAGCTAGGCTAGATAGCGCCAGATGGGGAGACTGAGGCCCCAAGCATGCAACTTGGGTTCTTCACCCAAACTTTTGCCCCTGCACTCCGTCCCCGCCCCCTCCCAGATCTGCCTCCCATTCCTTTTGATCCTGTGAGAAATACCTTCCAGTGTTTCTTAGCATCACCTCATTTTTGGTCAGAAGAAAGCATCTGTTCAGGACTAGAGGATTGAGTCAGAATTTGGTGGTATCAGGGAGGTGGGGCTGAGAGACCTATGGGACCCGGCATGAGGTGAGACCTTAGAGCAGGGGTCCTCAACCTACGGCCCGCAGGACACATGAGGCCCGCTGAAAACATTTATCCGGCCCGCCGGGTGTTTTTGCCGCCGCTGTGTGCATAGGAATTTGTTCAAAGTTTGTTTTTTTTTTAACTATAGTCCGGCCCTCCAATGGTCTGAGGGACAGTGAACTGGCCCCCTGTTTAAAAAGTTTGAGGACCCCTGCCTTAGAGGGCTAATCAGAAGGCTCTAAATCCTTTTGTCTGTGGGGCCTACCCCAGAGAGCTGGACGGGATGGGATAGGGGTCCGGAGGAGTAATCCAAAAGCAGGGAGATCATGCCCAAGGGCAGGAAAATCACACCCAAGAGAAAGCATTTATTTTCTAAGTCCCTGATGACTGACCCTGGGCTGGGCCACAGTCTAGAGGACAGAGAAGCAGGAGGCTTGGGCTCCGTCTGGGCGGCCCCATCTGAGGAGACCTAGGGCATAAGGAACACAAATGAAGTGTGGAGGGCCACTCCCCACCCTGATAACTCATCAGAGGGGCCTGTCCCAAAACTTATGCAGAAGATACCCGTAAGGGCAGTTCCGCCTTCCTTCTGGGTCTGTGGCCACATCACCATTTAGCACTCCCAGAGGGAGCAGCAGTTAGGGCCCGGGCAGAAGGTGATCATGGGCCAGGATCTACTGGAGAAGGAAGGAACAGACGTGGCAGAATCGAAGGAACTAGAGCATGGGGTGGGATGGGCAATTCCACACCTGCCAGGAAGGCTCAGGTCAGAGGGGGGAACAAATCTCAGGTTCACACATAGGCCAGCTGGGCTCCCTGGAGGCTCACTCTCCCCTGCCTGACTCAGGCTGTGCTGTCACCTAGCCTCTGCTTTCTGTAGATCTCGAAGCCCCAAGAGCAAAAGAAAAGAGAAGAACAAAGAGAGGAAGAGGTGAGCACTCGTCCCCATTCTCCAGCTCCTCAGCCCTTCTTCCCACACAGCAAACGGGATCACAGAATCGGGCTCTTGAAGGTAGTTCATTTTGTACCCCCTGCCCAGATGGAAACATTCAGACCCAGAGAGGAAGCCAAGAGCCCTCGCGAGTCGAGTCAGTGGCAGAGCTGGAACTGGAACCCAGGCCTCTTGCCTCCGGATCCAGGGTCTTTTCAAGCTCAGTCCTTGTAACTCCCCTGCACCTCTCCAGGGTCACAAGAACAACAGCTGAGGGATGAGTGAGGTCTTGGGGGGCTGGGGTTATCTGGAGAAAAAGGCACCTTCTCCTAATTCCCACCAATGGCCCACAGGGCCTGGCTGGGCTTTGCACCAGTATGGACAGCCTTTGTGTTATTTTTGTAGGAAACTTGGGGAGGGGAAATTGGTCAGCTGTGGCTTCCATCAGGAAACAGATTTTAGGTACAGGTTGGTTTCTCTCCCAGGCCACACGAGTCCCCAGGCCGGAGGTCCCATCGCCACAGCAGTGGAAGTTCCCACAGCCCCTCACTCTCCTCCCAGGACAGTGATTCCAGATCGCCCAGCAGGTAGGTCCCCAGTTCCCGGCCCCTGGGAGCTCAGGTTGTGGCTGAGCCCGGCTTTCTGCTGGGGCTGAGCTCCGTTTTCTGCGTATTAAATATACTTGAGGCTGGGGAGCCCGGCTGGTAGACAAGCAGCAATTAATCAGTGGGTAGTTTACCAGGGCAGTGCCAGTGCCAACTTGGAACTGGGCTAGGCATCCCAGACCTTGAATGGAAATCAAGGCAGTGTGCGTGGGGCTTGGCTCTCTAAATAGAAACGTTCCGGCCCAGTGCAAAGGCGGGTAGGGAGCTGCCCTTCCTGCGGGAAGCGGCCTCTTGTAGAGGGGCGTCCCACGCCGGCTCTCCTCACCTCCCCTGCCCCAGGCTGAGCCCCAAGCCCCGAGGCGAAGGTCGGAAGACGGGCAGCCAGCGGTCCAGCGGGAGCCGATCGCCTTCCCTGTCAGGCGGCAGCGGATGGGGGTCGCCCCAGCAGAACGGAGGCAGCCGGCAGCGGAGCGGAGCGCAGGGGGGCCGCCCGGGCTTGGCGCAGAGCCCGCCAGATGTACGTATGCCTGGCTTTGCAGAGGGTTCCTGCGACGCGCGCGGGCTGCGCCTTGCTGGGGCGGGGGAGTCGCTGCCGCGCGGGGAGGCAGTGAGCGTGTAACCGGGGCGCTGCACGCCTTCCTCAGGCCGCCGCTTCCCCCTCCCCTGCGCCCTCCCTTGAATGGGAGCGGCTTGGAGTGCTTGGTTGTTATGCCCACCTGGCTCTAGTGGCCTGGGTGGGTGGGTGGCGGTGCTGCAGGCTTGGGCCACCCTTGAGCTTGGCAAAGTGAAGGTCAGAGAGGGTTACCACCGCGACACTCAGCCATTTAGGTAAGGAGCTGAAGAGCCAAGATCTCTTGCCTCCCTCCCCCAGGCATATTGAGGAGGGAGGGGGCATCGCCACTGAGACAGGACTCCCCTGGGCATCACTTGGGCCCTAAGCCTCCCTCTCCTCACCAAGCCCCTTCCCCCTCTCTGCGTGCTCTCTGCCCCTCAGCCCCTCACTAGACACCCACCCCCACCCCCACCCCCAGTCCCCTTGCCACAACAGAGCTGCATTTCTAAGGTCCTTTTCCCAGCCACTGCCCTCATCTGGACAGGTGTCTCAAACCTGGGGGTTCCACTTCTCATCTTTCCTAAGGCACCTCCCAGTGTACCCTTTGCTCCCTGGGAGACCACACCAACACCACCCCAAAAACTGTCCTCATCCATTCTCCAGGAGGCACACCGATTTCTTGAAACCCGTGGGCAGGTGTGGTGATTGTAGGAGCTCGCAGCTGGATGGTAGGGGTTCTCCTAGGTCCCAGGAGAGGCCCTGTAGCCCCCTTTTGTCTGTTGGTATTAGAGTACAGTGTAGAGGCCCCCTCAGGGAGAAGGGACTACAGCATTGACAGGGGCAGTGGGCGGGCACAGGGAACTTAGGGTGAGCAGTGTGCAGGTCCCGTCCCCCCTACACACACACACACACACACACACACACACACACACCACAGGCAGCCCAGAAACCCTAGCAGGGAGGGGGCGCTGCTCCTCCCCAGACCTCAGGTCTCAGCAGCAAACCTGTACATGTCAGTTTCGTTTTGCTTTTTGGCTGTTTTTGTTTCACTCCCTTTCTTTTCTCAAATACCCTTAGTCCAGGACCTTAGCAAGGAAAGTCAAAGGGCACCTGAGGAAAGGCTTTTGGTCTCAAGGGTAATTTTTGTTTAAGGACGTTACCTGTGTGGAAACTGCCCCTCCTGGACAGGGTGCCAGGCTTTTGAGTGCTGAGGGGCCTGGTCGGACCACGTGGGAAGGATCACACCAATGTCCCTGGATCTGTCCTGGGTGTGGGAGAGAGCACGCAGAGCCAGCTGAGGGCAAACAGGACAGGGACAGGTCTGAGACATGATGCCCAATGTCCTACCCCATGGGCACAAAGCCTGAACAGCACAGTGCCCCAAACACCTTCTCCTGGAGGTTCCGAAAGGCATGTTTTTCCAGGTCAGGGTGGAAAGAGGCCCCTTCCCACGGCTGGTCCCCTCCCCAGCCTTGGATGCCTAAGCAGGAGCCCCCACAAGGGCCCTGGGCATGTGCAGACAAAATGGTCACAGCAACTAGGTAGACCCTAGGAGTAAGCAGTCAGGGAAGGTGGCCTAGCCGCTGGCCTGGGGAGGAAGCCTTGGCAGCACCCCAATCTTCTCCCTCCCAAAGTGGGACGCCATTTTGACATTGCCCTGGGAGTTTCCTAGGAAGCAACACTTCGTTACTCCTTTCACAAAACATGGTCCCCCAATTCTCTCTCTACCCTCTGGGCTTGGGAGTTCAAAGACTGCTGAGCATCCCCTGCCTCTCACCTGCACCCAGATCCCCTCCTTGCCCTTAGAGCCTCCCTTAAAGTGAGATGAGGCTGGTTCTCTCTTGCCTCCTGGGAGGTGAGATGGGGGTCATAGACTTTGCCATTAACCAAAAATGTTTTTGGGGAAAAGCACTGGGGGTGGTATTCTTGGACTCTCACCTTTAAAAAAAGAGAGAGAGACAAATGGAAAAAGAAAAGCTCACCATTCTTAACCCCGTCTATGTTTCTGCTTTTGTTTTTGTTTTTAGCCTCCCATTTGAAACGTGGTAATATTGTGATTCCATTTCTTGTTTAGTGGCAAGGGAAGAGGGTGGGGAAGTTTCTGTAACTCTTCCTGTTATTTTATTTCATTTTTTGTTTGTATTTTCTTTTCCTTTTATTTTTCTTTTGTAATGTACAGAAATGCAAACTCTCTCTCTGGGTTTTTTTCTATCTTCTCTGTTGTTCTAGAATTTTGCTTTTGTGCGTTACTGTGGGAGCCTCTCCTCCTAATGCAGAAATGGTGTTTGAATTTCAGTGAACATTAATCATATACATACCTCTATATAATTATTTTTCCTTTGTAATCAGAATTTAAAAGGGAAGATAACACTTAAAAAATCGTTTCCCAGGCCAACAGCTTCTGCCAAATCTGCAGCAGCAGCCATCCCTTCCCTCAACCCCAGGCAAAGGGCACTGGTGGAACTGCCTCAGCTTTCAAATGAACAAAAGTGGTGCAGACCGTACTCTGGGTCCCTGTCTATAAGGAACTTTGGAGAGAAGCTGGAGACCCAAGGAGGGAGAGACTTGTCCCAGTCACCCAGGGGCCTTCCCAGAGCAGTGAGCTTCCTGTGTCTCCTCGGTTCTGTCTAGCATAAGATGATGGCTAGGCGAGCCTGGAAGCGGGTGCTGAAGACACCAGACAGAGTTTAGTTCAGGTGGGGGCTTCAAAGCCAGACACTCCCAACCAGGAGAAAAAAAAAATCCGTCCTGGTTTTGAGACTGAGGCCATAGGATGCTGGCTCCCAAAATCTCTTTGTTGTCCCATCCCAGCCAGGGCTGAACCCCCAAAGGGATTTCTGGGTTCTGCTGCCTACTGCTCTCTGCAACTCACAGAGATCAAATGACCAGCTCAAGACACACAGCATTTTAGAGGCAGACTTAAAAAGGAGACCCTCTAACCTCAAGACCCCGGCCACAGCCAAGATGTGGAGATGGTAGTCAATGGGAAGCACACTTCAGGAGCCTGAGGAGGAGGAGGAGAAGGAAGAGGAGGAGGAGGAGAAGGAAGGGAAGGAGGAAGGCCTTGGGAAGTGGATTCTGGGGGCCTCAGCTCTTACCTTTCTCCTGGGGACCCCTCTAGATGTTGTTGGCTCTCTGAACTCCCCAGGGTATAGGTGAGCCTGGTGTTGCACAACTTTATATGACTGCAGCTTTAGCAACTCGGGTAGCCCTCACAGTTCACACCCATGTGGGGAAAGAAATAATGAGGCACAATGAGGGAAAGGAAGCTGCTCAAGGTCACGCAATGCAGCAATGCGGGGTAGAAAAGTAAGATACTGAGCCCAAAGCCCAGCGAACTGGCCAGACAGGGCGTGGAAGGATTGCAGCCTTAGGAGTAGGGCCCCCTTCCTTGGCTCCACCTGGCCCTAGCATTGGAAGTGTCGAGGGAAGCCTCACCATTTGCTGAGATGCTTCGTGACCAAGGCCCCAGGCTCTCTGGTTCAAATTTCATCTCAAAATGGGAAGCCTAGAGTGACCCCAAAAAGAGGTGTCCATGGCACTGCCTGACCCGTCTCATCCAGGCCTCTCTCCTCGACACCGCAGGGGAGACCAGTGACCATGGCTGGAGTGGGGAAGTGAGAATAGGAAGGGACACCTTGGCATTTCTTCTAGGCTGAAGCCAGAAAGCAGGAGGGATGAATTTTGCAAAATGGTGCTGAAGCCAGGGGGAAAGGGAATAAGGTTGACTTGAGGCAGGGTCAGTCCTCCACA